TGCAAGTGATCACATTACTCCTATCCTGGACTCCATGCACTGGCTTCCTGTCAGGTTTTGTGTCGATTTCAATGTCCTTATGCTCACCTACAGAGCTCTGCATAGCTTGACACCATAGTACATGTCTGAGTTACTATTGTCCGCCCTACTCCCCACCTTGCAACCTTCGCTTATTTAATGCCATCTGCTGTCTGCCCCCCAAGACCGTCTTTACTCTGTAGGTGACAAGGCCTTCTCCTGCTACGTCCCAAAACTCTGGAACTCTGACCCCAAAGATGGAGAGAGTTGCCTTCCTTGAGCTCTTTAAAATCTAGACTCAAAACCTTCTTTTTATTTAATTGGTTGTGGTTGCCCCTTGGCTTTACTACTGTCTCCTGTCAGTCTATTTTTTTCTATTGTTGTTGCTTTGTAAAGTGCTTTGAGAAGCCACTTTTAAAGGTGCTATATAAAAATAAAGTTTATTATTATCCTGTGAGAACTGTAGTAGCAATGTACTGTACTATTTTTGTGTAAACATTCCTGGGCTCTTAAACAGTGCATATTTAATAAGCATAAACTTTTACCAGTATTTCAGTCTGTATTTATCTATTTTTGGAATATTTAAGACTAGTGTCCTCTAGGAATAATGTTTCTCTCACTGGGTTGAATAAGAAAGCTGCTGTTACAGTAAATGTGATGCCTCAGCTTTTATACTTACAATATAAACTTAAAGAACAAGCTATAGAGATGGTGAAATAATGTTTTTTTTTGTTTAACTACTGTTACGTGCTGATTAATCTGATGTGAAACTGAACAGGCTCCAGCTTGCTTGCAAAGTTGCAGCTAGAATGCTTATTCAATCTTGAGGCTTCAAAAGTTGTCTCTTGTCAAAAGTTGTCTCTCCTGTATGTAAAGTTGTGAATTTGAAAACCCACCTTCATTATGAGCTTCCAAGAGTTCTTGATGCCATTATGTTTACATTATTGATATTGATATTGTTGGTTGGTTTTTAAAGTCATTGCATTATAGCAGAGCACATATTTTTTAACATAAGACATGTCTGGATGTATTGCACGAGAGGTGCTTCTTGAAAGAGTATTCTGCTGTTGTGTATTGAACAGTTGGAAGGGTGATTAAGGAAGGCTACAACAAATTTAAACTCCATTTGTTTTAATCCTGTAATCCTTCCTTAGTAGTACCCAGTATATTACTATTTTACTATATTGTAATATATATATATGAACTATGGCAACATTTTAAAAACTTACCATAGATCTACCTCAATTTAGCCTAGTGTTTCTCATTTTTCCTTCCCCTAATTCAATAAACAGTTTAGAATTAAGTGGCCACATGAAAGTTAAACATATTTTAAGAACAGTACACACTAGCCAAATTCAAATCCCCATCCAAATGTTGTAAAGCAAGCCAGAAGCACTTTTCTAGATCATGTGATTCTTTTGTGCCCAGAAACCCAGGTTCACTTTTACTGCTAGTGAGTATTATAACTGTAACTGAAGTATAAAATACAAATCACCAAAGTTACAAAATTGAGAAAACCTGACTGAATCACTTTAACTTTTACTTGAAAATCTGTATTTTGCATGATGTCTGACAGTTGCATGATGTCTGTGGGTCTGCTGATCACTAAACTCTTGTGTGATAGTCGTCTAATCTGAGTTGCTTTGCTAAGACGTCTGCAGCCACCTTGAGCTTTTGCCTGTTCTGACTTCAGTTCTTTCTCCCGCTGTAAAAAGCAAGAAAGCTCAACTGTATTTAAAAAAGGTGATGGACTTAACCAGTCTCAGATATTCCACTTTTTCCCCTGTTGAACGTTTGTCTTGGCTGTATGTTTTGAGTCATTGCCATTCCGCATGAAGTGCTGCCCGATAGGTATGGAAGCATTTTCTTCTGCATAAGCAGACAGAATATTTCTGTAACCTTGAGGATTTATTTTCAGGCCCTGGCATTACCTCCATCATGCTTCACAGATGAGGTGGTGCTCCTTGGACCTTCTGCAGCTCCTTTCGTTCTCAAAACTTAACTTTTTGCTTCATTTTGGTAATGTCACATCTTGGTCACATCTGTCCAAAAAACTTTTCCATAAATCTTCTGGTTCAACTTTTTACCTCTGAGTACAAAGTACTATCAAATTCTAGTCTGGCTTTTGATCATTTCTCTTCTATCAACTGTTTTTCTTGGTCGAAGACTGGTAAATATATCTGTTAATTAATCTGTTAATCTGTATTTCATTCTACCCTCCAGAATAATTTTATTTATTATATTTAGCACAGGAAACATTTGGTTTTGGCTTCAATATGTTACTAAGGAATAGCGTTATGAACAAAATTATACCCATTGTGAAAGAGCTCATACTGTTTTCACATTAAGTTTTGGAAATTTCTAGTTAAGGCTGCTAATATCGTCAAGCTAAATGAGCTCCTTTGGTTATATGAGAGCTGAGTTGCTTATTTTTCATCACATCCTTATTTATACAAAATTTCTTACTGCAATAAGGTGATGAACTTCTGTGTTCTAGATTTCAGGTCCTAGTCTGAGAGAGTTTCTAACCTCAGCTGTTTCAAACTAAGACGTGTCTTGCAGTATTGCATCAAGTGGAAAATAACATTGCATGTATTCTATCCATGGAGTGGAGAAGCAGAAATGATGCAACACTGATGCTGACTCTTCCTTGTTCACAATTTTCCAGCTTACCCTTCATCATCATTGCTTAGCCATTTAGAGCATTGTGCCTTCAACTCTCCACTCACCCTGGTTAACTTGGAAACGTTTCCCAGGCTTACTTCCCTTGTCCTTGTTCATATTCTATTGAAACCTTTATAACTGAAGAATTCTGCATCAGCTTTATGGGGTTTCACTTGCTGCATTTCATGGGCAGGGTCTTTCAGCCTGTTGCAAAAAGCCAATAAAGCACACAAATGAACATTCAATAATGTTATTCTGCAAGATGCTGGCATCTTATGCTCTTCAGCTGTGAATTGGAAACTAACAAGATTTTAATGAAGAGTAATAGAGTCTTTAACTATGTAATTTCAATTGTGTGGCAAGTTATTTTAAAGTTTATTGTGAGAATAAAGGTGATAAATGTTTGTTTTGCTAAAGCCTGGAGAGGAGAAAACTTCTTGTTTTTTGTTCCTTGTATTGCATTTAGATCTCTTTTTAATGCATTTTATCTTTGGACTATATGAAGCAATTTGGCTACTGTAAGCATGTGATGTCTGTTACTCACAAATGGGATTGTCTTGAAGGAGTGTTCACCAGTAAGGTCTTATCATTGCACCATATGTTCTTGTATCTGGTCAGCCTATATTGTCATATTGTGTAACATCAATATACTTGTTAACTAAGCTGATGATCATTCAGGGAGATGGCATTAAAACTGTGGGCCCCTTTTCACTGCCTTTTTTTTCTCTGGTGGGTACTTGGGCTTTTAATGTAAAGCTGTGTTAAGACTGGGTGGAATATACCCAAAGACACCTTCAAAGCCACATGCCTTCTGAAGTGCAGCTTTCAGGCCCACTGGGACAGTCAAGTGGACTTTGTGTCTTAGTCTATTGGAAGCTAGGTCATAATTGAAGCAGTGATTGGCTCTCCTGGGCCTTCTTATTATACCGGGGTTGATTTACACATACAAGATAGCAGAGGTCTGCTGAAAAACCCACAAGATTCACCCTGGTTGCTAAGAGTAGTGCTCAGGCTATTCTCACAGTACCCACATGGGCTGGGCCCCACACTCTTGAAACAGAGATGAAAGGCCGCTGACAGTGTCAATTATCAGTCACTTCTCCAGGCATGAGATCTAGCAGCACCCCCTGAGCTTCCCCTTCAACACTCATCTCCATCTTTATGGCCTTCTCCTCCACTAACCATCCATTCAGACATGCACCCAGCTCTAACCTGGCCCTAAAGGCTTCCCACGGGCCTTGCTCAGTCTGATGCCATGAGCTGCGTTGTTCTGCTTGAGTCACTCTGTAGCCTGGTCCGGATAATTCCGGGTGGAGTTTTTCTGTAGTTCACACCACCCTACTTATGTTGGAGGTGTACCAAATCGGCTTCCCTCCCACCCTCAGTTACACTCTCGGCATTATTCATATGTGAAAAGGACCCGGGTTCTCTGTGTCCAAAGATTTCGACAGGAAATCACAGTTCTGCTCTGTGGCTTTTCTCACTTAAGTTGACCTAAGTTGGAAGTCATGAATGAGCTCTGCCATGGCACATGTCCTACCTGACAGTGCTGCTATGTGGAGGAGGCCAATGTCCCCATTCAGCCAAGTGTACTTACAGCCACACTCCTGCCATGTAGTCAAGCATTCCTCCATGTGAGTTTCCTTGTCCTCATCCATTAATGACCCTGCCAACTGCCAGGGCTTGACAGCAGGATTTGTCTTTCTTCTTCACATCTTCCTGTGTTTTTTGGGTCCACCTAAGTAACACCAATGTAGCAGTCTTCCCTATCTCCTTTGTGAAATGTGGCAGTGAGGGGAGACAAAAAGGCAGGGAAGCAGTTTTATAAGCTCACAGGGGTTTATCATCCCTTATTAACATATGCTAGTTACTGAAAGAGGTTAAGGGAGTGAGCATGACATTCACTAGCACTGCATGTGGTAAATAGAACCTAAGATGGCTCCTTCCCTGCTTATATAATGGAAGAGGGGTGAAGAAGTGAGCATGCCTGGAGGAAAGGTTAAGAGTCAGTCCTGGGAGCCCATCACTGGGGAACAGAATGCTTCATTCTTAGTGTCTGTGGCCTTGTTAATTCTATTGGCGTTGAAATTAAATAGCAGATTTTATCAATAGCAGAATTTCAAGTTGCAAATAATCAAAATGAAATGTATTTTCATGAGAGCAGAAATCAAAAAGATTAAATGGATTTAAACAACAACTTTAAGGGAAGAACAGCAAACTCAGAAACAAAACTGCAACTTTTGACCTCAAAACTCTAGAATTGCAGTTCACCGTCCGTGCCTGTGGTGTTAAATTCTCCGTTCTTCTTCCTCATCCAGGCAGCAGCACCTGCTGTAGTCCAAAGTCTCCATCACCGAACAGCAGAGCAAGCCCCAGCAATCCTTTGCCTGTTGGGAGCTGGGCAGCTCAGGCAGCAGGCTCTGAGGATGCTCAGGGGATAAATGGAAGAAATAAAACCGACAAGGCCTCTCACAGTGTCAACCCAAAGCCTCAAGGTACAATCAAACAACTTCCATAACTTTGATGCTGCTGGTAGTATGGTATTGAATCACTTCAATAGACTTATGACCCCATTAAACTTCTACAGTGAGAGAAGTTACCAGTGGTTGGAGATCTAAACTTTTTCTGACTTCAGCATAATTGTGTCAGTCACTGCATTCTTGTAGAGCTGCACAAAATAAAAAATCTCAAAGAAAATAATACACATTCAGTTGAGACAGTTTATTTGTATGTAGCACCTGATATAAAAACATCTACAAAGGATGCATTTTTAATATGGCCAGGAAGGTTGTTCCATAGGCAGGGGCTACACTGAAAAGGCTTGGTGCCTTAATGTACAATATGACATCCTTGGATTGTTGAGGAGCCTAAATCCGGTTCAAACGAGTGAGCAAACTGGGACATGAGGGGATAGTAGCTCTCGAAGGAATACAGGAGACACCATGCAGTGCCTGATAGGTCAATGAGAATATTAAAGTCAAATCTGTAAGCAAGTGCAGGTTTTTCAGCACAACAGGCATCTGTTCAGATATTTTTTACTCGGTCAGCACTCAAACAGCATAGTTATGGACATAGTGTAGTTTTTTAAATACTTTTGTGGACGATCCAACTAACGAAGCATTGCAGGAGTCCAGCCTTAAGGAAATGAAAGCGTGAACTAATTTCTCAGCATCAGTAGGGGAACTAAATGGTTTTAAACAAAATATGTTGAGTAAATAGAAGAATGTGTGGCAGTCTTTGCAGACATGTGATATGAGAGATAGGGAAGTCAGAAAGAACCCATAGGTTTTGTGTGAATCAATTCTATATTGGGCGGCACAGTGATTAGCATTGCTGCCTCGTTTGCAACGCAACACTGGCGCCTTGGGTTCAATTCTGGACCTGGGTTGCTATCTGTGTGAAGTTTGTATGTTCTCCCAGTGTTTGTGTAGGTTTCCTTCAGGTGTTCCAATTTCTTTCCAGGGTCAAAACATACTGGTCGGTCAATTGGCATCTGGGAAAACTGGCCTAAATTGTGTGTGCATGTGTCTGTATGTCTGCGCTAGCATCCTATTCAGGGTGTACCCTACATTATGCCCATTGCTTGCTGGAATAAGCTCTGGCTTCCCTGTGACCCTGAATTGGAAGAAGAAGTTAGAAAATGGGTGGATCACCAAAAAGTTAATTTTTGACAGTCTGACCTTGAGACTTGATGGGGAGAGACAAAATCATACTGGTCTTATTCTTGTTTAATTGGAGATACATTTGAGCCATGCACAACCGTATATCTTCAAGACATTTGTGGAACAAGCAACTTGAGAATTCAGTAATGCACAGTATGCAAGTAGATTTATCATCAGCATAACACTGAAAGTCAACACAATGTTTTCTGATCACCTAGCATAAAGGTAATATATAAATATTGAATAGGTAAGGGCCAAGAACTAAGCCCTGAGAGACTTCAGAGATGACAAGGGTCAGGATCCAATTAAATGTCATCAATGCTGACAAACTGTATTCTTTCAACTTGAACCACTGTAGCACATTGCCAATTAGACCTGCATAACGCTCTAGTCAATTAATCAAGATGTCATGGTTTACAGTGTCAAAGGCTGCTGAAAGGTCTAATAGTACAAGAGTACTATTACTCTTGTACTAAAGGTCTAATAGTACAAGAGTACTATTTCTCTCTTTTCTAGAGAGAGAAAAAAAATGGTATCTTTAGAGATGACAACTTTCACTAAAGCAGTTCAGTGCTATGGGCAGCCCTAAACCCTGATTAAAAAGATTCAAAGGACTTTAACATTTGCGATATTACCACACAATCTTGTGGTTTTGCCAAAATATGAAAATTCAGATAAATTGTCGTTCTTTTTTTTTTTTCAAAAGAGGGTTCATTTCAGCCCTTTTCAGCTGTAGAGTGATAAATGATGTAGACAGGGTTAAGTTTTTCATATTACAAATAATAGGAGCTTCTCCTGAGAAACACTGAATACTTAAGGAGTAATTATACCAGTGAATAGTTAATAAAATTCCATTTTCAGAGCTAAATGAGTGAAAGTAGAGGGTGATAAAATTGAAAAGCACTGTTTCAGAGTAGCAGTGAGTCATAAGAATGTACATGATGTTCAGTTACATCTGATATGGTCTGTCTTAATCAGGAAAAAAAAAACTGTCATAACATAAGGTGGAGTGAAAGAAGGAATTATCATTTAGAAGTTGGTTTACTGTCCTAAAGAGTCATCTGGTATTTTAACCAACATTGTCAGTAATATTGGAATAGTAAGCAGCACAGGCTAGCCTCAGGGTCTTCTTGGAAATAGATAAATGGTGTTTATGAGGTGAGCAGATAAAGCACTTTCCTCCATAAATGCATTTTGCGGCCATGTGTTTTCGTACTTATTCATAGTTTATCAGTAAACAGAGTTAATGACCTGGAATTTGAGATCCATCAAGTAAGAGGAGCAAGAGAATATATGGCATTAAGCACGATATATTTGTGAAATCTTTTGTGTTTCTTGTTGACTTAGGCAGATCATTTATAGTTAAAGTGGAGAACAAGAGGAAAAAACTTGCTTCACATTCTGAAAAGTAACAAGATTCTTACGGTTTTGAGGCAGTCAAACTGTTCCGCCATGTGGTCAGAAATGCCTGTGTCGTAGGTTTAAATTTCCACTAATGACTAGCTCTAAGTGTGACGATGTTTTTAAGTGGAGCCATTTATGTGCGGCTATAAACCAAAACTCTAATATCTTTAAAAATTCCTTAGGAAGAGCTGAGTTATTTCAAGCCACACCACATCAAATCACCAAAGGTCAGGACTTGGTTGATTGAAGTCATATTGACAATACAAGTTCACATAATGCACGGTATATTTCAGTGAGCAATAAACAAGAAAAATAGTAAATGGCCAAGGAGAGAATTTCAAAAGTAATAGGTACGAAAGAGTTAACAGGAGCAGTCGGCAGTAGATGTACTGTACAGTAGATCAAACTTGGAGTGGTAGAAAATAGCCAAGCCACCCCTGCGGCCTGTATTTGGCACTGCAGGGTTTCACACATGAAATAAAAAAAAAGACTTCTTAATTTCACGTGTCATGTTTATTATACATATAAAATATAAACTATGTTCTTATACCATTACAATGTTCAAGTAGATGGATGTTTATTATGTGTACCACCAAGAACCTGGGCAAGTTCTACATTTAACCTTCCTAGGTGTTTGTTATTCTTCAGTTCTTTTACCAGATCAACTGAGAGTTGGTCTTGGGTGAGTCAAAAGAAAGACTCCAGGAAAATACTTTTCTAGTGGTACCAACTCCTTACTTGTTATACCCGCTCTGTGCATATCACAAAATGATCATTCTTTCTCAAACTTTCTTGAAGATACCTGCACGCACAGATGTGTTTATTAGTAAAATGATCACAAATACTGATCAAATATTGCAAGCAGCTTTTTTCAGTGTAGTTAGGCATTATGCTGGAAATTGGTGAAGATGTGTGTACAGTATGTCCCGTTTAATTTAGTTACACTGAACACGTTTCACATGATTAGAATGCGTCTTGTTGTGTTTGATTTGTGTTACTTCTTCTTCTGGTTTGGAGGGCAGAGCCGGAGAAAGGAGACAGTATGACATAGAATCAACCAGACCAGCTGTTGGTTTTCCTGTTTGACTATATGCCCTGCTCCTGGTGAAACAAAATCTCACTCACTGTTAGATGTGGATCTTGTGGTCTCCTTCGTTAACACCTACACTTATTTTATTACATTTTCTTAGTGGACGTTGAACATCTCTTTGTGGACTTTAGTCAGTTGATTAAGACACTCTCAACTGTGTTTGCAAGTGGCTGTAGCCATTGTAATTCTTGCCATGTGATTGCTCGTATCTCAGAGTAGTTAGAGCTAATGAAACTTCATCACAGTCAGTCACGCTCTAGATTACCAGACTGTAATTGTCAACTGGCTGTGTCTACCACCACCTAGTGTTGTTTACTAGAATGTCCGGTACTGCAACTTGTCCTTTGCTGTACTAAAACCACTCTTGTTACAACCAAAATACATACTGTATATCACCAAGTTTTATTTATCATACAGACATTTAAAAATAAATTATGACAAACACCAAACTAAATTAAATATACTGTATACCTAAATGAGAAAAATAAAGTTTGTATTCTTTTTTCCATTGGCATCCTGTCGTCAGTTACTGGGTTTCAAATTTGCCATTGATAAGTAGACATTTTCATTAAATCCCAGTCGTAATCATATTTCATAACTTCTGTTCTTCTCGCAAAGGACATACCACATGATCATTCTAGGCGTACCATTTGCTATTCAAACATGACTTCTTTAATGTTTCCTTGTAAATGTACAGTATCAGACTGTGTATGTGGTTGGCAAGAAGACCTTTTATAGCACCCTTTCATTTTGTATTTAAGGTAGCAGTGAAGAACGTAATTTTGCTTAACTGCTTGTTGTATTCTTCTGTAGTGTAGACTTCTTATCTTGGTTTTCACTTTTTAGTTCTCATGTTACGTAGTAGGTTCTGATATGGTCTGTGTGCTGCAAAATGTGTGACTATGAGACAGCAGCTATGTTTTGCACTGTTAAACTTGCGAGGGTTCTCAAGTACACAGGTGAAGTACAGAAGCATTCCTTCTGCTCCTTGGTCTACCACAAGTTGAACCTTCAAAGCTTACGAAGGCCTGTCAGGATTCCTGTATTACCTATACTATGCAAAAAGAACCAAGTTCTCAATAGCAGAACAGGCAGAGGATGATGTACCACCTGGAAAATCTCAGTGGCTGCTGGAGTATCCAATGGTGGCAGCAGAATGAGACCTCCAATCAATGTTGTATTCTGTCAGGATGTGTGTGGAAGCTGTCATGCAGT